CCCAAATTTGGCAAAACTATACTGGCAGAGGTAATTGACTATTATCACAGAGAAATGCCATATGATCATAGGAGATAAAGTTGCTAGTATATAACGGTGGCAGAGAGAAGTATGAATGAAACTAGAGGATTCACTGGAACACAGCTTGGTATTTCCGTGCCCAGTGATAACAGTGACCAGGCCTGAAAAGGGCCTAGACTTCAGGCTTAGCTAAGGAACTAGACTCCTCAGGGAGGAAGATCTGAGTCACCCACTGAGCAAGAAACCCAGACCAGGAGGAATACTGAATGAGGGTGTGGGGAAATCTAGAATGTGTGATAGAACAGGGAGATGACATATAACAATTATGGTCTTGGGACCAACCTCAGCAGCAGGGACTGTATTTGTCCTACTAACTCTTCTGCTTTAGGTCTTTTAAAAAAATATATTGTAATCGGTCAACACCTTGAGGAATCAATGACAGGACAGAGTGAATGTCATGTTGGGCATGAGTGTATCAAAGCAGTTCAAGGGGTGACTGAAGTTGTCAATGTCCTCCCCACATAACCCTTTGGCATTTTTCATGTCTTGCCATACCGACCCGACTTCTAGCTGTCAGCACCTGCAGCTCTTTGCGTGAGGGGTCTTTCTGGCAACTGGAGCTTGCTTTGCCCATGTGCTTAGTAACTCTGAGTACTAGAGAATTAATGGTGAAAACTCTCGAGCAATAACTGACAGGAGTTGGTAAACGGTAGCCAGTCAACAAGATGGCTCCAATGATCTCCACTATCTCTGGTATTCCATAATCTCTGTGATCTCTGGTATTCATGCCTTTGTGTAATCCCTTCTACACTGTATCATGGTGGGTCTGTGTAACCAATGGTATGTCACTTCTGAAGCTGGATCATAAAATACTATGTGTCCTCTCTCTCTTTCTCTTCCCTTTCCCTCTCTCCCCAGATTACTGTCTCTAGAGAAAGCCAGCTACCATGTCATAAAGACACTCTATGGAGAGATCCATGTGGTAAGGAACTGGGGCCTCTTGCCAACATCTATGTGAGTAAGCCATCTGGGAAATGCATCCTCCAGCCCTAGTCAAACCTTTAGATGACTTCATTTGACTAAAACTTCATGAAAGACCCTGAAACAACACTACCCAGCTAAGATGCTCCTGAATCCTGAGCCACAGAAACTATGAGATAATAAATGTTTGTTGGCTAAATAAGTGTTTAGCCACTATGTTTGGGGTAATTTATTATGAAACAACAGACAACTAACAGTAGATAAATACACCAATTTCCTCACTCTTCTAGCAGGATAACTCTAAACTTGTGTTCCAGTGGCTCCAGAGTTCTCTAGCAGAGTTAAGTTCTAGTTGTCTGCAGGAGTAATTTCTTGATAATGTATACTTTAATGGTTTCCTCTCCCTCCCTGTCTCACTTCGTCATTCTCCTACTGATGTTTCCTGGGATTGCTTCTGCAAATAACCGCTTACACTCAAGCACATGCGTATGACAAGTCGTTGTCAATGGGCATTAAGAACAGTAAAAATCTGTAGTCAATTTTAATTTGTTTAATTTTATATATATATAAATTTTATATTTTTATACAATTATAAAATTATATATGTATATATACCTCTGTGTGTGTGTGTGTGTAGAGAGAGAGAGAAAGAGAGAAAATCTATACATAGTAAGACTTTGAGTAAGGGAAGTGCAATGGAGAGGAATTCTTGTGATTCTTTCTCATCTTTTTTCTATGAATGGAGATTTTTACACAGCTATAATTATTCTGTATATTCAATTATGTACCTTGCTCTTCTTTTTTTTTTTTTAATTTAATTTTTTGTTTATTGCAGTAACATTGGTTTATAACATTGCAAAAATTTCAGGTGTACATCATTGTACTTCTATTTCTGCATGGACTACATCATGTTCACCACCAAAATACTAATTACAACCCATCACCACACACATGTATCGAATTATCCCTTTCGCCCTCCTCCCTCCCCCCTTCCCCTCTGGTAACCACCAATCCAATCTCTGTCCCTATGTGTTTGTTTATTGTTGTTATTATCTACTACTTAATGAAGGAAATCATACGGTATTTGGCCTTCTCCCTCTGACTTATTTCACTTTGCATTATACCCTCAATGTCCATCCATGTTGTCACAAATGGCTGGATTTCATCGTTTCTTATGGCTGAGTAGTATTCCATTGTGTATATATACCACAGTTTCTTTATCCATTCGTCCCTTGATGGGCACTTAGGTTGCTTCCAAGTCTTGGCTATCGTGAATAAGGCTGCAATGAACACAGGGGTGCATGTACCTTTGCAAATTGGTGTTTTCAAGTTCTTTGGATAAATACCCAACAGTGGAATAGCTGGATCATATGGTAGTTCTATCGTTGATTTTTTGAGGAATCTCCATACTGTTTTCCACAGTGGCTGCACCAGTTTGCACTCCCACCAGCAGTGTACCTTGCTCTTCTTGATTCATTATTATATCATAAGCAGTTCAGAGTTTTTATACAGTCTTTATGAAAGTCTTTTATTGGCTATATGATAGGTAGAATTTCAATAAATGGCCCCAGGATTCCATGCCCTAATCCCCAGAACCTTGAATGCGATAAAATATCACTCTGATAATTGTGTTGTGTTATATGGCATAGCTGACCTTAAAAAAGGGAGATATTGGGGCTGGCCTTGTGGCGTAGTGGTTAAGTTCAGCGCATTCCACTTCGGCAGCCCAGGTTTGTGGATTCTGATCCTGGACACAGACCTACAACACTTGTTAGCCATGCTGTGGCAGCAACCCACATATAAAAAGTAGAGGAGGATTGGCACAGATGTTAGCTCAGGGCTAATATTTCTCAAGAAGAAAAAAAAATGAGGGAGATTGGCAATAGATGTTAGCTCAGGGCTAATCTTCCTCAGCAGAAAGAAAAAGAAAAAAAAAAAGGAGATATCTAGGTAGGCCTAACCTAATCACATGAGACCTTAAAAACACGTGAACTTTGTCTGTCTGGTGGCAGAAGATGAAGCCAGAAGACTCCAAGCATGAGAGGGACTTGAAGTGCTGTTGCTCATTTGAAGATGGAGGGGATGGTGTGAGCAGGGATGCAGGTGACCTTAAGGAACTGAAGATGCCCCTAGCCCACAAACAGCAAAGAAATAGGGACCTCAGTCCTATAAGTACAAGGAACAGAACTCTGACCATAATAGAAATTAACTTGGAAGAAGACCCTGAGCTCCAGATGAGACGTCAGCCAGCCAACACCTTGACTTGTGATATCCTAAGCATAGAACCAGCTGAAACTGCCGGGACTTCTGACCTACAGGACTATAAGCAAATACATGGGCATTGTGGTCATTTGTTATACAACAGCAGAAACTAGTACAGCTTTAAAAGATTCCATTGATCATAACTTACTGAAGATTGTTGCCCATATTTTCTCCTAACGAATAGCGCTGCTATATAAACACTCCACACTTCCAAGGTCCAAAGCCCCTAAACCTCATTTCTAGCCTGCCTATCTTTAAGTGAGAGCTCAAAAATTGAATTTCAGGTAAAGTAATACAAACATTTTAATGGTCTTGATTCATAATGTAAAATTGCTTTCCAACATGATTATGTCCATCCAAATTCCATCCCAAAAGTTCATTCTATAAATTGGAATGAAAACATACTCTTACTTCACCCAAAGAGAGTTCTGTTTAATCTTTGATTCCAAACAACTCATGTAATATATGATTTGACTATACCTTATTTCAACTTGGGGCTGCCCTCATTTTGATATCCAAATAACCTACAATTTGGGCTTCCAAGCTTTGGTCAGCTTTATCTCATGTAGGAACAAAGTCACAACGACAATTACTTATTCTCTAAACCTAGCTGACAGTAGGCAGTAAGGTTTAACAAACTTCATTGAAGATTTGAAGACAATATAAGGGAAGTAGAATGGAAAAGAAAGGAAAATGTTAAAATCGACTACAGGGGCCGGCCCAGTGGTGTAGTGGTTAAGTTCACGTGCTCTGCTTTGGCGGTCTGGGGTTCGCGGGTTTGGATCCCAGGTGTGGACCTACACCACTCATCAAGCCATGCTGTGGCAGCATCCCACATACAAAATAGAAGATTGCCACAGATGTTAGCTCAGGGACCATCTTCCTCAAGCAAAAAGAGGAAGATTGGCAACAGATGTTAGTTCAGGGCCAATCTTCCTCACCAAAAAAAAAAAAAGAAATCAACTATAGACTTTTACTCTTCTTCATGCCCACAGACAATTCCTTGTCATAGGAACCGCCTACTGGCCCTCCTTCCTCACCCTGAATTGCACCGTGTTGCTTATACTTACTCTTCCTCCCCAGCTTCTATAGATTCCCTTGATTATGTCCATGCTCCCCAAGTTCAAAGCCCTAAACCTGATTTCTTATAAACTCACAAAATATGTTAAGATTGTATCTCAGGGATGCATATAGTGAAGATAGTCCTACATAATTAATCAGAATACTTAACATCATATTCTAAAGTATTTGCATTTGGATTTGCAAAGTTCAGGGTCTTCCCAAAGAGAATGAGCATCACCACAGTGCTCTCTCCAGAGCAAAGACCCTACCCCACATACAACCTCCAGCTTGCCACCTTAGATCCACAAGATACAAATAGTATCAGCTTTTCACTTTCCGCAAAGCAAGGGTAGAGAAATACTGAGATCCAATCCCAGAACCTCTGCCATGTAACACTTTGCAAAAGTTCAAGATTAGAAGTGAGATAGCTAACGCTTATGTAGTGCTTACTATTGCCAGCACTGTTCTAAGTTATATATTTTACACATGTATATATGTATATAAACATACTTACAACTCACAACAAGTCCGTGAGGCAAGTACTGTTATTATTCTCATTTTATAGATGAGGAAACTGAATCAAACCAAGATAAAGTGACTTGCTCAAGACCAACCAGCTAGAAAGTGGCAAACGCAAATCCAAGCAGTCTGGTTCCAAAGTCCCCAATCTTGACTCACAGCAGGCATACGCTCAGGAAATATAGCTTCTCGCTGTCGTGATCACCTTTTGAATTTTGGTGCAGCTGAAGAGGCCTCATAGTCATAGTGTCGATCACAGCACAGAGGTAAGAGGCAGAGTCTTTCATCTGGAGCTCCTTCAGAAGGAAGTAACTGTATGTATCAGAGCGACGAAGGAATGAAGAAAAACGACCTCTCCTCTCCCAACCATCCAGAACGTTGTAAGAGAGAAACATGGGTGCTCCACCACCAGGTTGCTGGTACCAGGACAGCCCGTTGAACCCAGATGTCTGGTACATGCAGTTGACTTGGACAGAGGCTCCTTCCATAGCTGTCAACTCAGTGGGCTGATGAATGCCTTGTCCCGCAGTGCCTACGAGAAGACACATGACCGTTACCAGGGCAGCACTCCTGGAAGCCAAAATATTATTTAAATGGATAGTTTCCATGTGGTCACAAAAAACTGCCACTAATGGACGGGTTCCTTAGATAGAAATAAATGGTGGTAGAAGTAGCAGTAACTGTACTTGTAGTAATAGGAGGGCAATTAGCACCACATGAGGAAAATATGTATCAAGAAAGTCTCTTTCATTACAAATGTCAGAAGTTGCAATCATTTAGCTGGAAGAAAATTATTTTGAAAACACCCCACAGGGTTTGCTATTAACTTGAGACTAACCTCCCATTGTCAGGGAAATGTAAAGAAGGAATAATCCCCACATCTGCTGCAGGACACCACGAGCCAGGCACTGCGTCCCCAGTTCCTGAGCCGCTGGAGCCAGCAGAAGGGTGACTCCCTCCCTGTGGGTGAGGGAAGACAGCTCCATCTGGATGCAAAACCCAGAAGAAACACACAGGGAGGAGCTCCCTTCTTAAAGGAGTGACTCTAGGCTTCCACAGAAGCAGTGATGGGTTCCCTTATAGGGGAGTCTTCACAGGAGCATTTTCTACTGGTACGTGCAAGGTTTTGAATCCACAGGTTTTAGTCTGAGTGATTCTGTGAACATTGAACAACAGAATTGTGTGTAAAGAACAGAGACGATAAACGGGAAGAATAATGTAAGGCAAAGGCAAAAGTAGTCAATTTCTCCATACTAAGAGTTTCTCTTTCTCAAAGAGAAAATGGAAACCAGGGTGCCATTAGAGGTGAGTTATGCACATATTGTTTGTGAGTGAGTGTGTGTGTGTGTGTGTGTGCGGTGGTGTTTGTGACAGTACAGAAGAGATGGAAGAGGTTTTCTACCATTTAAATTTATCTCCCAAGAGGCAATCAGATATTTTTTAAAAGATCTAAAGAAATACAATATATCCATCTGTACATATGTATGAATATAGAGAAAGAAATGGAAAAACAAAGGAAACTACAATCTTTAGCTGCTTCAGAAGGTTGGGATTAAAAAGAAGTGGTGAGAATATTAACCTTTTTTATACATCTCTGTTTTGTTTGACTTGTAATCTTTTTTGTAATAAAGTGAGAACTTGAAAGAGAGAAATGGAAGAGAAGAAAGAAGGAAGAGAATAACATGAGGAGGAAAGGGAGGGAGGGAGGGAGGGAGGAAGGAAGGAAGGAAGGAAGGAAGGAAGGAAGGAAGGAAGGACCTATATTTCAAACTATTTCCTAGTTGTCACAAAAGGAAATTATCTCTTTTGACACATAGTTTTCCCAAGTTATGGACCCCCCCCCCATACGGTATCTTTACTAAAGGAATTTATATCCCTCATGAGTCCTCAGGATTTATTACGTCTTTTTACTCCACGTAGCAGACAGTACTTGGTTTTAATAAAGATAATACTGTCATCTTGTGGCCAGATGTAGCATTGCAACTTTACACACAAGCACACACAAACATTTTCTTCCTTAGTAATTTAGAATTAAAAGGAATCTTAGAAATCATCCAGTCTTTGTCCAGCTCCATCATTTTACAGTGGAGGCTCCTGAAGCTTACATCACCCTCCAGGCTTCATTTCTTCACTTCTAGCCAGTTCCCCAGTATGACTCAGATTCACATTAACCTTGGTAAAATAAATACGGGAATACCCAACGTTATTTGCACTGGCTTATGTTGCCTAGACCTGCATGTGCATGTAAGAATCAATTTGATATCAAATCAACTCCTGGTAACTTTAAATCTGAGGTTCATATTCAAAAGCACATGTTTTTTTTCTGGCCACAGCATCTAACATGCGTGGTAGTTTCTCCTATTCATCTATTCAGAAGTATTTATTGAGAACCCACTCTGTACCGGGCACTGTTCTGGAGATTCCACAGTGAGCAAAACTCTCTCCTCTCGTGGAGCCTACATTCTAGTGAAGGAAGACAAACAGTAAACAATTAAGCCAGTAAAGGGGCCAGCCCGGTGGCGCAAGCAGTTAAGTGCACGCGCTCCCCTGCAGCGGCCCCGGGTTCGCCAGTTCGGATCCCGGGTGCGTACAGACGCACCGCTTGTCAAGCCATGCTGTGGCGGCGTCCCATATAAAATAGGGGAAGATAGGCATGGATGTTAGCCCAGGGCCAGTCTTCCTCAGCAAAAAAAGAGGAGGATTGGCAGATGTTAGCTCAGGGCCCATCCTCCTCACAAAAAACATAATAAGCGAGTAAATACAGTTTGTCAGATGGTGTTAAGTGCTGCTAAGAAAAATACAACAGGGAAGGGAAAGGGGGAGGGTCAAGAGAGACTCACTGACTAGGTGACGTCTGAACAGAAACCAGAAAGGATAGCGGAAGATCCCTGATGGATATTTGGGGAGAGAAGGTGATCAGTTGAGACTTCATAACACTTGTAAGAAATTGGAGGTCGTCCAAAACTATACTGATGAGGTTACTCCCCACAGCCCCCTTTCCAGAGACCTACTAGAAACCTTTCCTGCTTTCTCTCAAAACAAAATAATGAGGATTTGGGGAGGGAAGATCCCATTAGGGAAATACTTTAGAATAGCATTTCCCTTGAGGTTAGAATTTTTCTTCAAATCTCTTGTCAGTGTTTTAGTTTTCTTTTACTCGGAGAGATACAGGCAACAGCTGATGAAACCAATATAAAATATGACTCAAGAGATATAGAACTCACACTCATCAAAGAGCCTTGAAAGGCAGGGGTTCTCAGAGACTCTGAATACTTATTCACAAGGCAAAACTCCTGAAAGAATTCTAAAGCCTTTCCAAAACAGATGTGGGAGCCCTTTACAGTAGGCGTGACTGAATCTCTGAGGACATCTCTCCATCTGTGGGACCATTCCACCCCAGGACAGCCAGCCTCTTCCACCATTTTGCAGCTCTGTACATGTGAGTCTAAGAGGATGGAGAAGAAATCCTGAAACCAGCTCCATTCAAAATACGGCCACAAACTAATATTGGAACTTGAAGATATTCTGTCATTTTGACCAAATGTTAATCAGTCTCTTTTCTCTATCTTCTTCCTCAACTGTTTCCCAAACTTCTAAAATTAAATTCCTTCTTTCCAAACTTAGGGAATTTCTCTTTGTGTTGAGAAAATGATTCAAAAGAATCTTAACATTATTTTTTTTTCATTTTGTCTTTTTTTTTTTTTAGGGCAATTATAAAGGCCAGAGTTGGGCAGTGATAAAGCCATAGAGGTCATGAAGAAGATTTTTTGGTACTGGTGCAAACATAGGCAGGCCAGATTAGTAACCTTTCCTTTCTCCAGTGTCCAGGGGACACTAAGTACCTTTCCTTAAGCAAGCTCATTTCTTTTAACCTTTGGTAGAAGGACAAGAATCTCCTCTTGTGGGAAGAGATAAAATATATCTAGGCCACTCAAACTCTATCCATTTTCCCTACCCTGCCATAGCTCTACCAGGACGTCTAACTGTGAATGAATGATGAAGGAAGGGGAATCTTCTTTCCAGAAACAGATTTGGGTTGGGTCTTGTCCCAAGGGTGAATAGAAGTCCTTTGATCCTGGTATGTCTAACATGACACTGAACCAGTCTTCATTCTTCATCTGCAAGATTTCATAATTGTTCCCTAATGGCCCAGATCCCAAAGTTCCCTGTAGAAATCCAAAGTTTCAAATAACTGGAGAGAGGGCTGCCCTCCTATGAGTCTCTCTAAATGGAAAGGCACTGCAAGAGGTGTGCTCATACCAAACCAGCCTGATGTGGACCTGGGGGCAGGCGGCGGGGGTGGTGTGGTACAGAAAGCAGCCCCTCTCGTGACCCTATGGTTCCTCAGAGTTCTCTCAAAGGCATTCTTGTTCCCCCCACCCACCCCCATGTTTATCTTCTCAATGCCACTCTTTTCACCCCATACCCACAGCCTTTCCCTGGAGTTTTCAAGATAATTGTTTCTTAAACGTGTATTGTTTATTCTGTAATGTCACTGGGCCCTTATGTTCAGATGCTTTTTATTTTGAATTTTAACCTTTTGCTATTTTTATGTGCTTTTATATTTAAATTCCAACCATTTTACAACATGATCTTAGCAGCATCAAATAGTCTACAACTTGGGAAATTTAAAAATACTTTGGTTATCTAATTAGCCAGGGTAGATATACTAAAATTGTTTTTGATTTTTTGAAATTCTTTAAGTCTACCCCTTCCTTTACTTTAAATATTCTAATTTTCCACAGCTGAAAAACAAGAGGAGACCTAAAACAAAACGACACATAAAGCTACCAGAAGGGGGAATGGCGGTGGGGGAGGGGGGTTGTAGACTGTTCTCTCTTTTCAAGAGATCTAATCCTTCTGCAAACACGTTCCCTGTTTCTTCAAAAATCCACCTTCTGGAAATCTACTCTGCCCACCTCTCTGCACCACAGATTGCCCTGCTCTGCAACCCCTGAACGCCATGCCTCAAGTCAAAACCACCATTCTCTGCCAAGTTGGCCTGGAAAAGTAACCTGTCCTCAAACCCACCAGTTGTGACCCACCTTGGTTTCCTGGTCCTACCAGGCAGGGCATCCAGAACCTAGAAGGTAAAAGGAGATTTCTTCCAACAGGGCACCAGGGAGAAGTGGAACCAGATTTATGCACAACAAATGGGAAAAATCAAACTGGCAGAGCAGATAAATTAGGGAGAATTTTTTCACTATACATAAATATGCTTTGTGTAAATCCTCCAGATAATGCCCCCAATGGTACAGTTGTATCTGATTTGATACACAACTGATGTTCATAAAACATTTCAGGAACATATCATTTGCCTAAGTGGAAGCACACTAATTTTATATGTCTATATTGACAAAAAAATTACTTTGATTCATTATTAGTATTTTATGCATAATCTTAATCCCAACTCTTTCTATCTTTTCTCTATATTCTAGCCAAAGAAATAGGAACCAGTCTTCCTATCCATTTTCAAATAAATCAAGGTGTCCTTCTGAAACTCAGACAATAAAAATCCGGTATTTTTTCATTCTTTGCGGTCAAAGGGTATGCCTAATATTTTCTATAGACCCTGAAGAGCCAGATATAGTAAGTATTATTATTACTATTAATAGCTCTTAAATGTTAGTGTATGAATTATTTTAGAAAATAACCAAGATAAAATCTCTTGGGGGAATTTTTTGATGGAGATTAAATAGCTAAACCTATTAATACTCACATGTTATTTATAATTAATCTGTTACCATTTTAATTGCTTACTGAAAATATTCATTTAACTTACAAAGATATTTTATGGTTAAATGATAGATGAATGCATCTCAAACCCTAGTGTGGGGAGAAACATCTTTATCAAACAGCTTATTCAACAAAAGGAGTGAAACAAACACATTTCCTCCCTCTATCTTTTCTTATCATCTGGATTAGGTACTTCAAATTCTTTCAAGGTCTTTAGAGAGAGTTTCTGTATGGTAGATTGCAATATATAAATAAAACATAAAATAAAGATCAAGTCCTGCATTAATCAATGCTTTTATAATAAACCATAAA